CGGCCGCCGCGGAGCAGGGCGTGGCGGCCGGGCCGGGCCGAGTGCGGCCGCCGTCACCGCGCGGGTCGGGAGGTGTGACTTCGTCACGTTAGGGTTTTTGTTGGGCTTTCTCTAGATACTCATGTTCCACGCGGGAGGTTTGGGGACGCCGTGTGTCACGTTCCTGCCCTGTTCGGGCGCACCCCGTTGTCCCTTCTGTGGTTTTTTTATGACTCAGCTGTGAAAGAACCCATTGAACATGTGACTGCTTAAAAAATCCCTTTAGTCTAAGACAGGAATGCGTAAGTAGTGGGCCACCTTTAAAAATGACCTTAGGTTTTATTTTCTAAGAGCTTCTAATAATTGACGTTTCTACGCATGTTAAAGAAAATAATTCTAGGAGATGTAAAATCGTAGTATGTCCTCCTAATGTGAGGGTCTTTTGCTTTCCTCCCTTCCTTTCTAGTTTCCTTACCATTTCCTAGGTTTCATCTTACATATCTCTCACCATAACCATGGCAGTTGACTTGTTGATTTGCTTGCATTTTCTGCTGGCATTAACTTTTCAAAACGTAGAACAGTTCTCTCAGTCTTTTTCCAAAATCGTTCAGTAGCTCCGTATTGCCTACTTGATTCCATACACCTTACCTAGCATATGCTGGGTGTTATCTTCCGACCTTCACCTTTTACTCGGGTCTGTCTTCCATCCTAGGTAATACTCATACTACTTGTTATAAAAATGCTAGGCCTTCACAACTTTTTGTTTTTACTTGAGTTTAGAGTGGATTATACATCACATTTTTGTTTTTTGCGTTGCAAGAGATTCTTATTTCTCTCTTCTTCATCCATAACAATTAAAGTATGATATGTTGCTAATATTTTCTCAGAAAGAGATTCCAGCACAGTAAAAAAAACAAAAATAATAACTTTTCACACTTGGGGATTTGTGTAATGGAGCTGGGGAGTTCTAGTAGACAACTTTGCTCTTGCTTCTTTAATTGCCTTTCTAGTAATTTAATTCCTTCGTGTGTACTTGCAGTGAGGCAGAATTCCTAGGAGCAGACCTACATCAGCTCTTATGTGTGTCTAATAATTTGTCGCAAAATATAAGTTATGAGCACATTTATCAAATGGTTAGAAAAGTCAAATTCCTAATCTGTCTTTTTAACATCTCTTTTAGCCTGCTTTTGAGGTTCACAGATGATACTTTTGATCCAGAACTCGCAGCAACAATAGGTAAGCCTTGTTAAAAAAAGTCAGTAAAAATGCCGAATATTTGCGTACCTTCAGGCAGTTTTATGTAAAAATGCCGAATATTTGCATAACTTCATGCAGTTTTATCTAACTCTCAGTGACCTCCTCTGACTACCCCTCTGCTTCCATGGCTGTTGAAATCTTACTTACCTTCAAGGCTTAACTGTGCTGTCATTAAATCTCTGAAGCCTTTCTAGATGCCACCAAGCAAAAATAACTGCCTTATTTGTTGTCTCATGGCATTTTATTAATACCACTAATATTATGATTATCTATACACACATTTTTTTCCCTGTACTATGGATTGTCTTTTAGTTAGCAACACACAATTATTTGAATATTTATTGTACGATGTCCTAAGAGATGTGTCTGTAATGGTGAATAATACAGGCTTGATTTCTATCATCATGGACTAACAGTGTCATATTGTAGAGTGCCTTAATTTCATATTTTTAGCATTTGCCACAGTGTCTGGCATGTATTATGAAAGCAGCATATTTATTCATACTAGTTATTACAGATTTTTAGAAGCAGTGATGCCTGCGTGCCTTTTTAAAAGGAAATTTTGATTGCCTGAAAGAAGCTCGTGTGGTTTGCCACAATAGCTTATTAGAATATATGAAAATGTAGTGGTAAATATTTTGCTCATGCTTAGGGAGTAGATAATAATGTAAAGGTATCAAGAGGCAGCTTGGAATAGTTGAAAGATGGCTGAACTGAGTCAGAGCTGATAATAGTCTTAACTCTTCTTTGAACTAGCTGTGTGGTCTTGAGCAGGTCATTTGGCCTTATTGTCTCTGTCTGTAAATTGAGATGTTTGGACGACAGATAATACATGTTTTTTCTAGCTCTAAAATTTCATGATCTGTTGAGTAGATTGTAGGAAAGATGATACTACTTAGCATTATTTTTAGGGAAAATAGTTTATTTTAACTGACTATAGTTATTTTTATTTATTGTGCTTCTGTTTACCCCCCCCAACTTTTTATTATGAAATAATTTGAGATTTAGAGAAAAATTGTAAAAAATAGTACATAGAGTATATGTTTATCCCACTCAAATTCCCTATATGTTAATCTTTGTCACATTTGCTTATTCTGTGTTCTCTCTCCCTTTCTCTATACACACACACAGACACACACAGTAGTCTTTTTTTCTGAATTGAGTCTAAATTGCAGGCATGATGCCCTTTAATCTCTAAATACTTTAATGTGTGTTTGCTAATTTAACATTGCTATAATACTACTGTCTGCATACATTCAGATTTCATTAATTGTCTCACTAATGTCCCGTATAGCAAAGGAAGAAAATTGTTTCAGGCTCAGGATCCAGTCTGGAATCACGCATTTACTTTAGTTGTCATTTCTCTTTAGTCTCTTTTAATCTAGAACAGTTCTTTTGTCTTTCATGGTGTTGACATTTTGGAAGAGTACAGGCCAGTTATTTTGTAGAATGTCCCTCAGTACACATCTGCCCAGTGCATCTTATGGTTAGATTCAGGTTATATATTTTTGGCAGGAATTCCACGAAAGTGCTCCTCAGAGCATTATGCCAGAAGGCACAAGGCATCTTTTGTCCCATTACTAGTGATGGGACTTTGGTCACTTAAGGTGATTTCTGCCAGGTTTCTCCACTGTAAAGTTATGATTTTTCCCTTTGTAATTAATAAGCATCTTGTGGGGAGATAATTTGAGGCTATATAGGTATCCTTTTTCTTATCATACTTTTTTCCCACGTTTTTAACATCCATTGCCTAAACAAGTATTATGATGATGATTATCTATTACATAGTAATACAAGTACAGGTAGTCCCCGACTTACAATGGGGTTCTGTTCCGACGACTACTCTGTGTAAGTCGGTTCTGATGTAAGTCAAATACCTTTTTTTTAGTTTTCATTATTATTGCCTTTTATTATCAATATCTTTAAAAATCCAATCTTTATTTGTCTTTTGGGGTTGATAACATCAGCAGTTTATGCACTGAAACATTGTACATACTACTAACGATAAGATGTACAAAAAAAAAGATGGTTGTAAGTCTGGTTCATTGTAACTCGAATGTAAGTCGGGGATTACCTGTATTATTATGGCAGTGGTGATTTTTTAAATTCTATCATTCTTTGCATTTCTTATCTGGAATTTTGTAAGGAAGAGCTTTTCTTTATTTCTTCTGTTCTACCAATATGAACTCATAAGTACCTCTAAAGTTTTAATAAATTATACCAGGTATTATTTAGCTTTTTTATGACATATTAACATTGACAGATTTACCGTTACATGTGTGAAAGAGAATCATTTAAAACAGTAATTCAAAATCCATTTTAATTTGGCTTTGGGTGTATTATTTGCTCTTTAAAAAAATTGGCTAATAGTAAAACTTTATTTTGCTCAGAAGATGCTTGGTAATGCATAGCAGAGAGTAGAAAAATAGTAACTGGCAGGAAAAGAAGCTTGCCTGGAGTTAAAGTTTTCTAAGGGCATGGTTGTATACATAATCTGAAACTATTTTCATTTCAAACCCAAATGGAACCTGGGGACTTGAGAAATGACAGATCTTAATTTTGAATTTATGTCATGTTTTGTCCTTGTTAATAATAAAGGCTTTGTCTGCTTTAAAAACAAATACTAAGATTCTGGCATCTTGATAAGAATATATATAATTTGTCCCCCAAATGGGTCCTGTGTCTTGAGTATCTAAAAAATACCTTTTATGTTTAGGTATCAGATTACTTTCTGCCTTAGGCTATAACCAATATACACATGAGTTTTAAAAATAAAAACAATTAGCTCAAAATTAAAGGCTTTGTGAAAATTAGTGTTTTGTGGAAAATCAGTATTTTTACTTCATACTAAAATAGTAAGAACTCACCTTTATCTTTCAGTAATACAGCAAAACAAATTGCAGTTTTGTATAATATGCTTATAAGATAATTGTTGGACTTTGGGTTTGAAGATGCTACTATAAAGCTGCCATTTTCTTCTTTTGCTTTCAGGCAGTTAGCTAAAAACAACAAAGAGAGGGAAAAACTAAAACACAAACTCCATTTTCCACTAAACTGGAAGACAGCTAAAACTGCAAGCCATAAAATAGGTGGGATTGTTGCCAGAAGCAGTGGAGATTAAGTAGGGTGCACGTGGGAAAAAGTAGAGAGAGGATTTCACAGCTGCAGAGCTCACAGCCAGCAACAAATGCTTCCTGAAGGTGAGAGAGTCCATGCTGAGGTACAAAACCTAAATCCTTTGTTTGCAGAGGCAAAATGGGTTTCTTCAGTTAATGGCAGGAGGTTCCCTGCACCTGGTTTGATTTTAAGAGTTGGGAAGATGAAGCCAAACGAGGATTCAGACAGGCCATCTCTGCCAGAAGCTGCATGCCTGTCTCCGTAGCAGTAGGGGAGATGACTTTGCATTGTCAACATCATGGCTGCCGACCTCCATACTTACAGCAGCTGCTGAGAAGTAAAAGGTAAAGGATTTCTCACGTAAAATCATAAGAAAAAATTTTGCCAGTCCAGAACTGGAGCCATCCTGGCCTCCTGCATGAACCTCCTGCGAATAGCTGGTCAAGGAAAACCTCATCTCCTTCAAAAAGGAATAATCACGGAATCTAGCTCAGGGCTACTATAAAGATTCGAGAAGACAAAAGGAACAGGAAAAACAAATAACAAATGAAGAATACTCACCAAAAAATATTGCCGCGGAGTAGATGAAATTGTGATCAGACATTTTACCATAAATTTAGGAAGCTTATGAAATAGTCACGTCTGAGAGCACCAAAGCAATGATAGAAGAGGTCACAGAACAGATGGTGTGACTGTGTGAGAAAATGCATTGTAAGCTGAATGAACAGGAAGAAAAAAAAAATAAAACCATCATTGAAATAAGGGATAAATTGGAAGGATCACAAGGGAGAATACAGTCTAAAAATGGAAAAGCAGGCAGTTTACTGAAATGAATAAAAAAACAAGTTAGAGAAAAAAATGATAGATACGGAAAACAGAAAAGGAGATCCAACATACGCATATTTGAGTCTCAGAAGAAAAAGCATAATGAACGCAACAGATATTTAAGATATAATTCAGGTAACATTTGTGAAATAAAATTAAACACCCTAATACACAAAACTGCAAGAATATTTTGTTACTTGGGAGCATTTGTGAGAAGAAGGTATTGTTCTGCTATGCTAAGGCTTTATGGTAGTAATTAATCAGGTGGTTATCTGAAGTACTTAATTAGCTTTGTAGATAGAATGGATTGAAAATTAAGCATGGAAACTAGATCCTTGTAGAAATGTAAAAACAACGAGAGTAGGGGCTAAATACAACCTTCCAACTTCTAATTTGGTATTTTTTTAATTACCTCATACTTCACCACAGATTGAACAAAATGTGAAAGAAAGCTAAACAAATAAGAAGGAAGCAACAAAATTAAATATGTGAGTTAATTAAATGTGAATGGGCCCAATTCTCCTAATAAGTCAGATTTTCAGATGAGGTTGAAAAGTACTTAAAACAAATGAGTGGTTGAAAATAAAGGGATAGGCTAGGCAAATGCAAACAAAATGAAAGTAGGGGTGGTAATATAAGGTCAAATTTAAGGTTAATGCACTGAACAGAACAAAGGATATTATGCATTGATGAAAGACCCAAATAATTAACAAAGCAGCAATATAGTAGACATAAACATAGAAGCTGTATATAAAAGCAAAATCTTCAAAATACGATAGGAGAGCTTGATGAAAATACAGAATAGTAGGAGATTTGTTATATTTCTTTTCGAATTAGATAGAGCCAAAAGACAAAAGGCACAGGCAAATAGAATAATAGAACAAACGTATATTTTGAATAAAGCACTCAGTACTTCTTCAAGTTCATGGAACAGTTTTACAAAATCCTGAACTTGGCAACAAAGTAAATCTTTAATTGAAAAGAAGTAGGGATTTGTCAAAATACTCAACAGGGAAATTGGGAAGTACTGAACTAAGTATTTTGAATGAGAAGAAAAACATGACGTATCAAATTTGTGGGATACCACTAAAGCATTACTTAGGGGAAATCCTATAGCACTAAATGCCCCAATATCATTAATACTGCACACAAGTAAAATTTTGCTGAAGGTAATTCAAAAACATTGCAGCAGTACATCAACAGGTGTCTTAGGCTGGGCTCTCTAGAGAAGCAAAACCACTGAAGCATATAAATATATATAGAGAGAGATTTATGTCAAAGAAACAGCTCACTCAGTTGTCGAGGCTGGAACGTGCCAAGTCCTTGGATCAGGATAGAGGCGTCTCCTGATTCACGTAGCTGCAGGCACTGGTGAACCCAAGTTCAACAGGTTGGAAAGCAGGACCCTGCTCACAGGCTGTGAAGATAGACCAATCCCACGATCAGCACATAAGCTGATAGCTCAAGTCCCAAGAACCGGAGGTCAGATGAATGGGAGGCAGCCACAGAATGCAGAGCGAGCAAAAAGCCAGAATGTCTGCTTATATTCAGATGCAGGCCACACCCCCAGGGAAACTCCCTTTCCACTGATTAGCTGCTCACAGCATATTCAGTCATGGGAGTGATCACATATAGACACTGCGAATCAGCCTAGCCAAGTTGACACACAATCTGAACCATCACACTGGGGAACGGCCAGAAATTCAAGCTGGATTCAGAAGAAGACGTGGAACGAGGGATGTCATTGCTGATGTCAGATGTATCTGGGCTGGAAGCAGAGAATACCAGAAACATGTTTACCTGTGTTTTATTGACTATGCAAAGGCATTTGACTGTGTGAATCATAACAAATTATAGATAACATTGGGAAGAATGGGAATTCCAGAGCATTTAATTGTGCTCATGAGGAACCTGTACATAGACTAAGAGGCAGTCATTTGAACAGAGCAAGGGGTTTAAAATCAGTAAAGGTGTGCATCAGGGTTGTATCCTTTAACCATGTTTATTCAATCTGTATTCTGAGCAAATAATCCAAGAAAATGGACTATATGAAGAAGAGTGCAGCATCAGGATTAGAGGAAGACTAACCTATAATACGCAGATGACACAACCTTGCTTGCTGAAAGTGGAGAGGACTTGAAGCACTTACTGATGAAGACCAAAGACTGCCACCTTCAGTATGTATTACACCTCAGCTTAAAAATGAAACCATTGCCATTGAGTCAACTCCAACTCATAGTGACCCTATGGGACAGAGCAGAACTGCCCCAGAGGGCTTCCAAGGAGAGGTTGGTGGATTCGAACTGCCAGCCCTTTTGGTTAGCCACCAAGCTCTTAACTGCTGTGCAGCCAGGGCTCCTCAACATAAAACAAAAATTTTCGCAACTGGATCAATAGGCAACATAATAAACGGAGAAAATATTGAAGTTGTCAAGGATTTCATTTTACTGGGATCCACAATCAACAGCCACGAATGCAACAGTCAGGAAATCAAGTGAAGTATTACATTGGGCACATCTGCAAAAGACCTCTTTAAAGTGTTAAAAAGCAGACGTGTCACCTTGAGGACGAAGGTGCGCCTGACCCAAGCCATGGTATTTTCAGTTGCCTCATACGTACGTGCAAGCTGGACAGTGAATAATGAAGACCAAAGAAGAATTGATGCCTTTGAGTTATGGTGTTGGTGAAGAATATCGAATATACCATGGGCTGCCAGAAGAATGAACAAGTCTGTCTTGGAAGAAGTACAGCCAGAATGCTCCTTAGAAGTGAGGATGGCAAGACTTCGTCTCACATACTTTGAACGTGTTATCAAGAGGAACCAGTCCCTGGAGAAGGATATCATGGTTGGTAAAGTAGAGGGTCAATAAAAAAGAGGAAGACCCTCAATGAGATGAATTGACACAGCAGCTGCATCAGTGCACTCAGACATAGCAACGATTGTGAGGATGGCGCAGGACTGGGCAGTGTTTCGTTCTGTTGTACATAGAGTAGCTATAAGTTGGAACCAACTCAACACCTAACAACAACAACAGATTTTACAAGACACATTCTGGGATAATCTGTTTATTCTTTCAGGAAATATTTTTGACCTATTATGTTCCTGGGGAGCCCTGGTGGTGCAGTAATTAAGACCTCGGCTGCAGACCAAAAGATTGGCCTTTTGAATCCACCAGCCACTCCTTGGAAACCTTGTCGGGCAGTTCTGCTTTGTCCTGTAGGATCACCGTGAGTCTGAATTGACTCGATGGCAGTGGGTTTGAGTTTTTTATATGGTCATATAACCACCACCAGAATGAGGATGCCAAACAGTTCCATCATCCCAAAATACTCCCTCATGCTGTCCCTTTATAGTCACATTTTCCCTTACCTCTAGCCCTGCCAACGGCAGATCTGTTCTCCATCACTATAGTTTTGTCTTTTCAAGAATGCCATATAAATGGACTCATAGAGCATGTTGACTTTTTGAGACTAACTTCTTTCACCTGGCATAACGCCTTTGTACTTCATCCCAGTTGTTGCAAGCATCGGTACTTTATTCCTTTTTATTGCTGAGTTGTATTCCATGGTATGAATGTACCACTGTTTTGTCCATTCACTTTGGTCAGATTTATTCCTAAGTATTTTGTAGTTTTTGATATAAAATGGTATTTTAAAAAAAATCACTTTTCTGTTGTTTGTTGCTAATTTATACAAAGAAAGTTAATTTTTTTTTTTTTTTAATATGTTGATTTTATACCCTGTAGCCACGCTGAACTTGCTTATTCGTTTTAGGAGCTTTTTTTTTTTTTTTGTAGATTACATTGGATTGTCTTCATTTTTCCTTTCAGATCTAGATGCCTTTTCTTTTTCTTGACATTGTCCTGGCTAACAATCTCCAGTATAATGTTGAGTAGAAGTGGTGTGAGCTGATACCCTTACTGTATTTTGTTCCCAGTATTTAGGGGAAAACATTCAGTCTTTCACAGTTAAGTATGATGTTAACTGTATGTTTTTCATAGATGGCCTTTAACAGGTTGAGTTAGTTCTTCCTATTCCTAATTTGCTGAGAGGTTTTATCAGGAATGCATGTTGCATTTTGTCAGATGTTTTTTCTGCATATGTTGGGATGATCTTATGATAATTTTAGTTTGTTAATATGGTGAAATACACATTGATTTGTAATGTTAACCAACTTTGCATTTTTGGGATAAATGCCATTTGGTCATGATGTATTTTTGTTTTAAACATTTTTGGGTTCTTTATAAAATTTTGTTTGGAATTTTCATCTGTGTTCATGAGAGATAATTAGTCTATAGTTTTATTTTTTTACTTGTAATATTTTTGTATGGTTTTGTTGTCAGGGTAGTGTAGAACCCATAGGATGACTGAGGAGGTATTCCCTCTTCCTCAGTTTTTGGAAAGAGTTTGTTTAGAGTAGATATTATTACTTCCTTGCATGTTTAGTACCACCTGGGCCTTAAGTTTTTTTCCATGGGAACCTTTTTAACCGTAGATTCAATTTATTTAATAGATTTAGGGCTATTCAAGTTATCTGTTTCTTCTTGAGTCAATTTTGATAGCTTTTAATTTTTCAAGGATATTATCCATTTCATCTGAGTTATCAGATGTATTGGTATAAACTTATAACATCCCCTCATTATCCTTTTAACAGCTATAAAATCTACAAATGATGTGATACCTCTCATTCTTCATGATGACAATTTTTATCTTCTCTTTTTTTCAGCATGGCTGCAGGTTTACCAGTTTTATTGATTTTTCTTAAAGAACCAGCTTTTGTTTTCATCAATTGTTGTTTTTCTATTTTGGATTTCATTGATTTATTGTGTGAACTTTATTATTTCCTTTTTTCTGCTTGTTTTGGACTTAATTTGATCTGCTTTTTCTAGCTTCTTAAGGTGGAAACTGAGGTCATTGATTTGAGTTCATTTTTCTTTCCTAATATGGGCATTTAGTGCTATAAAATTTCCCATAAGTACTGCTTTAGTGGCACCCCACAAATTTGATATGTTCATGTTTTTCTTTTCATTCAAAATACTTAGTGCAGTACTTTCTAATTTCCCTTTTGAGCGTTTTGATTATGATGTTCTTTGGCATAGCTTTTCTTCACGTTTCTTGTGCTTGAGGCTCATTGAGCTTTGTGGATCTATAGATTGATAATTTTCATCAGATTTGAGATTTTTTTCAGCTATTTTTTTAAATATATTTTCAGCCCCCCCCCCCTTTCCTTTTTCATGGACTCTTAATTGCTTATATATTAGGCTGCTTGAAGCTGTCCCATAACTCCCTAAAGCGCTATCGTTTTCTCTGATTTTCTTTTCGCTCTGTGTTTCATTTTAGTTTCTATGGCTGTTTCTCTGATTCACTGATCTTTTCTTGTGCAACGTCTAATCGGCCGTTAATCACGTCCAGTGTTATTTTCATCTCTAGGGGTTTGATTTGGGTCCTTTTATATCTTAAATGTCTACGTAACTTTTGAACATCTGGTGTACAGTTACAATTATTTTTAATGTCCTCATTTGCTGATTCTAACATCTTTGTCAGTTTTGAGTCAGTTTCTATTTGTTGATTTTTCTCTTCCTTAATAAGGTAGGTGCTTCTATTTATATGTTCCGGTCCCGTTACAAGTATCTCTTTATGTCTGAGTTTGTGTTATCTTTGATAAATTTTCATGTTCCACTTACTGCCTGCTTAAAAGGCTCTATGGATTGTCTAGTTTTAACTAAAATGACCATCATGAAATAGGCAACTATTGCTCAAAAAAAATTCTTGCAAAGAAACTGAATTAAACGTTGTATTAAAAATGCGAGCAGAATGAACAACAAGAAAAGAGCTGAAATGACATTTCTTCTGATTCTGTTATGAGTTCTTTGTCAGCCACATGAAGAGACTGAAAAAATGTTTTACTCAAATCTGGTTAAGAAGTTGACAAAATCAAAATTATCAAAAAGACTCCCAGTGTCAACAAAGACATAGTGGCAATTTGCAAAACAGAAGAACCAGACTTGGTCAAGAAGAGTCTTGGTGTGGAAGAACCACAGAGCTCGGTCTCTGCACCTGAGACTCTCCAGAGAACCAAGGGAATATGAATGGGGACTTCAGGGATCTTGGTCCAGACATGAGGTGCCCTTTCAGGCTACGTGTGTCTGTTGCCTTTGATGGTAGGACTCCGGTCAGCAGTATCTCCTGTGGGTGATATCTAGGGCTTCTAGACATAAAATATGAAAAAAATAATTTGGAGACATCTAGTTAGTGATCCACATGCAAATTATTCCAGTGACAGCAACGAATTACCCCTGTTGTCAAAGGTGGGGTTGGGGGGGTAGGCAAGAAAACAGACATTCTGGGAACAGTGAGCTTCATTTTTCTTTTCTTGGGTAAACTCATTAGCTGGTAGCTAGCAAAGAGGCCAGTCTGCTGTTGAGCATGCTGTCTGGGGTTTTTAAGAAAAGAAAAATTTAGTTATTTATGCATCCTCTGAAAAACCTTAGGAGTTTACCTCTAGCGTATGCATGACAGGCTGTCTGTATGTAATCTTTACCAGTAGCTTCATTTAGAACCTCCACTTCAGTGACAAGCTGAACCATTTATTTCCGTCATCAGAATTTTCTGATGAAAAATTTTTTTTTTTTTAAAGAAAATCAGTAATTTCATATTGCTTATTTTATATATGTGGGCCTACTTTTTAAGGGACATAATTTTCACTTTATCTAGACCTATAAATACAAGCTTATTTAGTATGTGAAGATGTTTGTTTCGCTGCACAGAGACTTTACACTTCATTTTTCCTTTGTTTGTGTAATCAGCAGTGCTCTTTCTCGGGTGGTTGCCCAGTCATTCCAGGCATGGCCTTATCAACTCCTTTATCACCTTGGCCCAAAACAGCAAACATTTTCTTTAATCTTTGGCCTACAGAAAGACCTGGTATAATGCACATTTTGAGTGTACATTTTTATTACCTGATTTGTGTACGTAATGGATCACCAGAACTCATCCAAGAATTACTAATATATTCCCATATTGGTGACAAGTGTTCTGTTAAGCATTTAGTATATAAGGAGGCTGTTCATCTTAGTTGAGACATTTCTGAATTAATTGTGACAAGCTAATAAGACCTTTTGAAAGTTTCTTTCCAAGCATTTTGAGCTAATATTTTCCCTTTGGCCACTGGGGTAGATTGCACGTTTTTTTGATACTCTTCAAAGATCTGGGAATATGCTTTCCCTTTGGGCAGTGTGGTAGACTGTACATTATTTTTGATACACTTTAAAGACATTTGAGCAGTTACTATTCATTTAAGCCAGATGGCATGTGTCCACTCCTTTCCTGGAAAGGGAGAGGTTTTTAAGGCTGCTGTAGTAAAACCCTATGTGACTTCTTATGAAGCTCTTCCCTTCTTTACACAAATTAGTACTGCTAGAAGCTTTTCATTATAGAACATTGGACACCTTTTTCACTTAGAGGGGTTTTTATAGTATAAATTCTGTTTTTGAAATTGCGCAGTAGCAAATGATCATTGATTGTATTGTATAAAACTAACACCATGTTTTAGGAATAAAACAAACAGGAGAAAGAATTGATAGAGACAGGGAGTGAGAGACCCTTTTATGTTTGTACTGCTCCTCTAAGCTGCTTACAGTTAGGATCTGAATTAGTGGTTGGCTGGCACTGGACAACCCACGAAGTGTGTAGGGTACTTGAACCAAATACCAAACCAGTTGCCGTCAAGCCAGTTCAGACTCACGGCGACCCCGTGTGTTACAGCACAGAACTGTGCTCCAAAGCTGTCCTCATTCACAAATCAGCCATGGGTAGTTTTCTCTGCATTCACACTGAGAATCCTAGCACTTGGCTTTTAATATGCAGAGTCAGTCATCACCTTATTCAGATAGCTACTGGAATGTGAATTTTGAGCATTTGATAAAGCGATTTTTCCATTTTCTTGATAATTATATTTAAAAGTAATTGTTACTTTTCTTGGTAATTGTTTTTAAATTGTTTTATTTGGAGACTTACCAAAATTTTCATTTCTTTAAGGTGTTGACTTTAAGGTGAAAACAATTTCAGTGGATGGAAATAAGGCTAAACTTGCAATATGGGTAAGAGTTTTTAAAATATATTTGAAATTAATATTAAGCAAGCTTATTCCTTTTAGGGAAGCAGAAGTTGATTTGTGTAATATTCCAGAGGCAAATGAACAATTTGTATTAAATAGTTTTTGGTAGCTCTGATATTGATTTAAAATGTCACCCATGTGCTAGAGAGAATCATTTGTTGAATGTGTTTCTTTAAAACTGTAAAAAGACTGCCTGCACTGAACTAATGCTAAAGGCAGTTGTTGGGGGTGGGGAAGGGGAGTGAAGTGATACTTAGAAAAAAACTTTATTTTTCATGTTTGTTAGTACAGATATTTATAAAATTTGAGTTTGTCAACTTAGGATTTATTTTTAATACTGAAACTTGGGTCTTTCCTTACTGGCCTCTTTTCATTTCCATGAATCCAGTCATTCTGATCCACATTGCTGCTAGCTAGACTCCATGCTAGAGCTGAATGAGGGAGCATTAACCGTCAGCAAAACAGCCTGACCTAGAATATATGCCAAATAAAACTTTCTTTTTGCTTTACTAAAAAAAGAGAAAAAAAAACCCAGCCAGACCTAGAGATGTTGTAACCTGTGTCTCTCCTGTCATTCATCTACCTATATGTTTACCTATCTAAATAGGATGATTGCTAAATATGCGTATTATAAAAAATACTACTTTATATATCTAGTTTTTGCATTATCACATATTTCGATAATGAAATACATAGTTATATATTTATATAATATATATGAATATATGTATCTAATACATAATTTCTAATCATATACTATTTTATGTATCTAATTTCCACACATACTTGTGATAATTATAATGCATATTTACATAACGTGTACGAATATGATAAATAATGTTGGAACTGGTCAGCAGTCAGCAAACAGAGAAGACATTTAACATGGTGGTTAAATGATAAATGCTGTCTGTGTTAAAAGCTACGGCTGCTAACCAAAAGGTCAGGAGTTCGAATTCACCAGCTGCTCCTTGGAAACCCTATAGGGCAGTTCTGCTCTGTTCTGTAGGGTCGCTATGAGTCAGACTTGACTCAACAGCAGCAGATTTGGTTTTTTTGGTGCCTCAGTCACAGATTGAAACATCACGTGTTCGTGCATCGTGTGATCTCATTATCTTTGTGATGTTCTCTGAATGGCACACTATTCTAACTCACATTTCATCCCAAAATTAGGAGTGACTGTGTAAGCGTGTTTGTTTTTCTGTCGAAGTTTTGATTGCATAAACTCCTTTAAATCATTGTTAGCCTGTTTGCCCCTCTACCCCAGCACACTGATATCCACCAGCACACTGATGTCCAACAGAAAGCAATTTGGAGAATTCTGGACTAGACCATGGTGACGTGTGCTGAAGTATTTGAGAATGCCATGTTCTTGTCTGTACTAAAGTGGGGACGTGATTTTCCAGGTGCTTTTCCTTGTTGATTTGTCACCTCTTTTTGCCCTTGCTACTTGCTTTCTGAATATGCAGATTTGAGGAGGATATGACGCTTGAAGTTCGCAGGGAGATCTTTGTCTCATATAAGGTTTTTTTAAAAGCGATTTTCTAGTTTCTGCCTAATAAAAAGACTGGCAGGTATTATTGAATTGACGAGTTTACCATCAACTTATAAATATTTTTTAGAGAAGAAAGATTTTTCATCTGACTGTAAGAATAATACAGGCTGACTCAAAAAAATAAATAATTGCAACAATAAAAAATTAGTGAAGGAAGTTCACTTTTAACTAGTGTCCATACTTTAGTGAACATCCTTTAAAAATCTAAGCACGTGCATATACACTGGTAAACATACATGTGCGTGCAATTTTCCAAAAGAAGGGGATTACATATCGTTTTAGAACTTGTTTGTCCCCCCTCCAACTGTATATTTCTCCATGTCAGTCAATGTAGAGATACATCAGTTTAAAATGCCCACGTAGTATTCCATCCCATGGCTGTACCTTAATTTAGTCAGCCCTTAGTGAATGATATTTAAATTGTTTTCAGTTTTTCACAAGGAAAAGCAGTGCTTTGATAGACATTCTTAATGTGTACATCTGTATGCACCTGTCCCCTCCTTTAGGACACATTCCTACGTGTAGAATTGTCAGCTCAAAGACTGAAGATTTAACATTGATACATACCAAAAGGTCTTTTTAAAAAATGAGTTTATAGTCCCCTCAGTTTTATTTTCAGATTGATTCTTCTACACCTCAGTCTGCACTGTGTATTGGCAATCTTTTTTGCCTCAATGATAATTTCACTTTTATATGCATTTCTTTTGATGAGTGAGATTTTCTCTCATGTTATTGATCGTTTTTAAGTGAATTTTTTGTTTATATGCTTTCCCATTTTATATTATCACTCATCTTTTTATTTATTAAAGTCTTTATATAATAAAAATATTAACTCTGTATTATATGCTACATTATTTCCACTTTGTCATTTGTCTTTAGAATCTTGTTTAAGATTAATGTGGCATCCCTGCGTGGCTCAAATAGTTAACACACTCGGCTGCTAAGCAATAGGTTGGACATTCAGATCCACCCAGATGCACCTCAGAAGAAAGGCCTGGTGATCTCCTTCCAAAAACTTAGCCACTGAAAAGCCTGTGGAGCACAGTTCTCTGACACACGTGAGGTCACCATGAGTTGATGGCGACTGGTTTAGTTTTTTTTTTAAGATGAATCTGTGTTTGAATTCTTGTGTATGTGTGTAATATTACCTCTGTCATATGCTGCTTTTTTTTTTCAGTTTGTCATTTACCTTCAAATCTTGTTTAGGATGAGTGTGTTTGTGTGTGTGTGTGTTACACACATATACAGAGAGAGAGACAGACAGAGGAGAGAAGTGTTCTTGCCATACCAAGGTTTTAATATTTATATGGTCAGATCGTATCTTCATATCTTCAGCATTTTCTTCATGGTATCTGGGTTTCATGTCATACTTAGGAACACCTTCCCACCTCAAGATTAGAAGTATATAAGCCACAGTTTCCTGTAATTCTTCTATAGTTTTTATTAGTGAACTCCCCTAGAAGCCCCTTCTAGGATCAGTCAGATAGAATCAAGCATGAGCTCTGTCCCACTGCCTTCTAGCAGTGCGTGTACATCGCGACCTACCTGTCATCGTCACTGACGCTTTTCCTTCTGTGGTCTTTTCCTACAAGCTCGCCTCACGCCCCTCCCCTGTGCTCCGTTATTTGGCCTTTGTCTCCTTCAGAGCCTTTAGTTTATCCCTTTCTGTCTTTAATACTCTCTTCTCCCCTTCCTGCATCAGAAGATAAAGCCACAAGGGGAAGACAGAAAGCTCTAGTTCTTTTATCTTACAAAGAGGTCATTACATTTACCATACACTCCTTTTTGAAAACAAACACACGCAAAAATCTAACCTGTTTTAGCATTTACATTTTATAGTTGTTATAGCCGTGACCCAACAACTATGGCACAAGTTTATTTTGCCCAACTAATCACACCTACTTAAACTTTCTAAAGTGAATCCAGAACTGGCAAGACTTTAAACAGCTAGCCTAATTAAATATTCACGTGTAAAGTGTGAAACTCATGAATATTTTTAACATTAAAACATTTTTTGCTGTAGTCTTTTAAAACTTTAGCCTTTCTGGATTTACGTGGTGTGTGTGTGTGTGTGTGTTTGTGTGTGTGTGTCTGTGTCTGTGTCTGTGTCTGTCTGTGTCTGTGTGTGTGTTGTGTCAATCTTAATGAAGAACAGAGGCAACAAAATTCCTATTTGGTTACTTTTACTAGCTCTAGAAATTAATTTAGTCAAGTTACGGAGACAGTTTCATTATGCAAGTAGGATTTTTTTTTTTTTCCCGTCTAACAAAAAGTCTTTGGACTAAAATATTTCATGTTTGGTCCTTGGCCCAAACTATTTGTTATGAGAATGGAGCACTGCTTGAAATTTAAAGTATGCGTGAAAAATAGCTAATCCTTAAAATTCCACATTTTCCATCCCAAGACTGAGTCTTGTCTTTTTCAATAATGGGTTTCCTCCTTTTTCACTCTTTTTCAAACAAGGGAAAGTCCTATAGCACTCAAAGTTAATGTTAAATGCTTAAAAAAAAGAAACAAAAACAGTTGCCATTGAGGTGATTCTGACTCATGGCAACCCCACATATGTCAAAGTAGAACTGTGCTCCATAGGGTTTTCAATGGCTGATTTTTCCGAAGTAGATCACCAGGCCTTTCTTCCGAGGTGCCTCTGTGTGGACTCAAACCTCCAACCTTCTAGTTAGCCTTTGAGTGTGTCAACCATTTGCACAACCCAGGGACTTTGGCCTGTATCATGCTATCAAAATTATAATCTGCTTTAGAAGTATGTCCACTTCACCTTATGCAGGCTTTAATTTACATTATTGTTCTAAAAAAGATGAATAAAATATGTATACAAATTGCATAATTTTAAATATCAGAGCGTGGTTCCTTTGAGACAGATTTCTGTAAAAAGACAAATCATGTTGTTTGTCACTCAAATTTATCTGCTTAGAAAGTTTAATTTTAATTTTGCTATTTCATCACCATGGTGAGGGAGGGAGGAGGTAATGTGTCTGTGCTGTGCAGAGTTTGGTGAGGATCTGGAAGCAAGGAATTGTAGATCTTCCGCAATTATGTGAGCTTATCTATGGAAGAGTTGGTGGATGTGCCAAGTGGTTTCCATTTGAGTTTATTTTCCTCTTAAGTTTCTCCTCTGGGGCTGTAAATTCCCTCAGCTCCTTCCTGTTGTTGTGCTTGTTAGGTGCGGTAGAGTCAGTTGCGGCTCATAGCCACCCTGTGTACAACAGAACGAAACGCTGCCCGGCCTGTGCCATCCTCCTCATTGCTTGAGACCATTGTTGCAGCCACTGTGTCAATCCATCTCCTTGTGGGTCTTCCTCTTTTTTGCTGACACTTCCTACCTATTGTTATTGTTTTAAAGCGTTCTCTATTTTGGCCAAGCAAAAAATCTCTGTATTGCCGGATTATTACTCCTTATTACTGTTTTAAAACTTCTCTTCAATCGTATAAAACTTCTATATCTAAAGGAGCTTCTGCTTGTCCCATAGCTAAGCCTACATGTGTAACCACGGACGGGTCATTAAGTAGAAGTTTGACATATGTCTGTAGACGCTTCTTCAGGTAACTGTACATCAGTGGACTGCAAACTGTTTCGTAAAGGGCCAGATTATAAATATTTAGGTCAACTCTAAAGTGGGCCATGTGGCCTCTGTCACAACTACTCAGCTGCTGTGTAGCATGAAAGCAGCCATAGCAATACGTAATCAGACGGGCCTGTGTTCCAATACAACTTTCCTTAGTAATCTTTCTATAATAGAATAGGTGGTTGATGGGCTGCTGCAGCAGTATGCCTACCGCCGCTTTACGTAATCGTAGGTCCTTGAAGCCACAGTCCGAGGATGTTAGCGAGAAGACAGAGAAGGAACCAGGCTCAGAAGTAGAAGCTTATATATAAGTTATTTTTCAGCAAACCTTGAGCAACTATCTTGAGTTAAGAATTACTCTAGGCACTGGAGTTAAAATGATTAAACCCATGAGGTTCTTGTCCTCATGAAATCTGCATTTCTAGCTAGTGTACATTAGTTATTCACCAACCCTTCTAGGAGTCAGAAACACTATGTGACAAGCAATGGTTTGGTTTTATGCATTTTCCTAAAAGAAGATAACATAGAAAACACTTTAAAGTCCAACCTAGAAATTCCTTACTGAAAGTAATACAGCCCTGAATTTCTCTTTAAGTTAATGGTTGTCCACCTTGCCTCGACTGTACATTAGAATCACCTGAGATGATTTAAAAAATTCCTGTCATACCACAGACCAATTAAATCAAAATATTTGGGGTTCTGTGTGTGGCCAGAGCTTGAGAGCTATTGCTTTCAATGAAGTGGGCTTCATGTATGATAAAAATCTTAAATGGTAGAAAACCTTTATTCAGGTGCCTTTTTCTATAGATGGATCGGTGTATATTAATTTTACTGTATGTAATACTTGTCAGTAGAAGAACACAGCTTATTTAAATTCCAGGTTTCAGATGAGCTTGTACATTGATATTATTTTTAACAATACTGTTTGACTTTCTGTTCTTAAATACCAAAAAAACTTGTTGCCGTCAAGTTGATTCCTGCTCATAACGACCCTATAGGACAGAGTAGAACTGCCCCATAGGGTTTCCAGTGAGCGGCTGGTGGATTCGAACTGCTGACCTTTTGGTGAACAGCTGAGCTCTTAACCACTGTGCCACCAGGGCTCCTCCATTCTTAAATAAGTATATTAAAATTCTGTTATTCATACTTTGCTTTATTGAATAATAATCGTCACTTTTAGGATACTGCTGGTCAAGAGAGGTTCAGAACATTAACTCCCAGCTATTATAGAGGTGCGCAGGGTGTTATATTAGGTAAGTATTTATTTTAATACACGGTTTAAAAAATATGGTTGTTTATTATAGATTATAGGAATTTCTAATTTTCATACTCTTGTGAGGGTCAATAAGTTTTTATTTTTATTTTTTTTAGGGCTACTGTTCTATAACTTAAAGTTGTATTTACTTCATTTAATAATTAATGAGTATTCACACATTTATTTTCAGCCATTTGCCTAGCAGTTAAAAAATAAAGATCAGACTGATTTATTTGGTTTGAAAGTCCATGTTGATGAGGGCATGATTGAGGATTAATCCACACGTGTGGTTGGTCTGTCTGGTCTTCAGTGATGAGCATATTCATACATGCTGCAGTTTATAAGGCTTTTTCAGTAGACTCCGTCTTACCATCCCTGAAAAATAACATAAAGCACTTAACACTGCTGATCTGTAATCAGACAGAATTTAAAAACCAAGTATGCATTCTCAGTTGAATTTGTTGAAAAGTGCTTGTCTTTAATATTCCTGGGAAGCGGTTTAAAATGAATATTGATCAATTGTAGGGAGAATATCTTTTTTATATCGTGATATATGAGGCTTTGATTTCATTTCTGTTAACTTGAAAGTGACTCTTATCATTTTGGTTCAGCATCTCCTAAGTTTAGAAAACACTTTAAATTAAAAAGCTCTTTTTATCCAAGATGATACAAGATGAGCAAGATAACAGAAGAGGACAATCAGGATCCCATCTGTACCCTTTTTCAAAGTTGAAAATTCTGGTCCTTGCAAGAAACAAACTAACAGGGTCATAGATGTTTAAATTCATATATAATTTTTGATATTTTGCCTCAGATACAAATCAAAACACTTTAATTTTTTATTTTTTTATTTTTTTATTTTATTGTACTTCAGGTGAAGGCTTACAGAACAAATAGTTTCTCATGGAACAGTAGTATACATGTTGTTTTATGACATTGGTTAACAACCCCACAACATATTTACCCTCTAAATTCTCAACCTTTTTTTTTTTTCTTTTTGGTGAAAATACACATAGCCAAAGATACACCATTTCAGAAATTTCTACATACACAGTTCCGTGACATTGACTACTACGCTCTTCCAATTGTGCTGTTATTCTCACTTAAGATGAAGGCTTATAGAACAAAATAGTTTCTCATTTAACAGTTACTACAAATGTTGCCCTATGACAATGGTTAACAATCTCACAACACATCAACAATATCCTTACTCAACCTTGGGTTCCCTATCACCAGCTTCCTTGTCCCCTTCTGCCTTCTGGCCCTTGTCACTGGACTCCTGTACCTCGTTAGTCTCATTTGGTTTTACGGGGCTGTTCACTCCCAGGCTGAACAGTGAACCTCGGAGGTAACTTCACCACTGAGCTAAAAGGGTGTCTGGGGGCCATACTCTCGAGGTTTCTCCAGTCTCCTTTAGGCCAGTAAATCTGGTCTTTTTTTTGTGAGTTAGAATTATGCTCTACATCCTTCTCCAGCTCTGTCCGGAACCCTCTGTTGTGATCCTGGTCAGAGCAAAAACACTTTAATTTTTATACAAACTTCTTTAATCATTATGAATGAGGACAGCTGTTATTTTGCTTAAATTAGTTTTCAGTTATCACACAATATATTTTCATTTCTGTTATAACATCTGTTAATAAAATTGAAGTGTGTGTTTAATATACTTTTTTTTCATCTGGATCAGTAGATACTGATTGTTAAGCTTTAAAAGCATAGGAAAAATACAGGTTGCCTGTATAGTAATATTAGCTGCTAACTGTATATCAGAAATACAGTATCATTGCTTCTTATTTTTAATGCTTATTTAATAAATGACTCTTACTTTTTATTTCAGTTTATGATGTCACAAGAAGAGACACCTTTCTTAAACTGGACAATTGGTTAAATGAACTGGAGACATATTGCACGAGAAATGATATAGTGAACATGCTAGTTGGAAATAAAATTGATAAGGTAAGAAGGCAGACACTTGGCACCCTGGCTCAGTATTTTAGTAGCTTTTCTTAATCTTTGCATTTATCTTTTAGGAAAACCGTGAAGTTGATAGAAATGAAGGCCTGAAATTTGCACGAAAGCATTCCATGTTATTTATAGGTAGGTGTGTGGAGAGCTGTCGTTTTCTTATTAATGAAGAATTTTAAAATGGAGTTTCTGCTAAATTTATCTGTTTATGAACAATAAGTATATTTATTCAGTTCATAGTTGTCTTTTGTTATAAAATCTCACTGTAGAATCAGGTTCTTTTTTTTTCATTCTGTAAAAATAAAAGAGGATTACATTATGTGAAGTCAGATAGAGCCCAGTCAAATGGTGCCTCTCAGGACTTAACAGAATTCAGTAAAAGCCTGGCACAGGTAGGTTCCGTTGTAGTCACTCAGTGCTAAAGTTGTGCTTTCCTGGGCCATGTGCTAGTAGCATTAAGGGTTAGAAATGCTTAACCTTAGCCCCTTCCCTACATTTTCTGAATTAGAACCTACATATTAAGATCTTCACGCGATTCATATGCAAATTAAAATTTCAGAAGCATTGTAGTTCAGAGGTTGGCAGACCAAGGCAGGAGCCAAATCTGGCCTGCAGCCTGTTTTTCTAAGTGCATTTTATTGGTGCACAGCCATGCCAATTTCCTACTTTTCTATGCTGCTTTTGTGCTACAGTGGCAAAGTGCAAGAGTTGTGACCCTCTGGTCTGCAAAGCCTAAACTATTTACTGTCTGGCCCTTTACAAAATAAATTTGCCAACCTCTGGTCTAGAACAGTGAACTAACTGTATCGGAATCACCTGGGGAGCTTTTGGAAATTATAGGTACCTGGGCCTTATTGCAGATCTGAAACAGGGCCTGGAAGGCAGTTTATAAAAGCACCCTAGTTGATTCTGATGTGAAGCCAGCCTTAAGGATTGCTGATTTAGCTATTCTACTGTGTTAGAACCTGCTAGAAATCAGTAGATGGAATTGGGAGAACATCATATGTAGATAGAAGCAAGGTAGGACTTTTCAGAAAGGAATTTGGGTACTGCTTTTACTGCTTGCTTGCTGGGTATCCTTCTTTTGTAGGCATTAGTTTATTCAGTGAATATTTATTGAACACTGAGGATATAGCAGTGAACAAAATGCACAAACTCTCTACCTTCATGGAGCTCACGTTCTTGTAGAGGAAACAAATATGCAAGTAGTGCTAAGAAAGGAACCAAAAAACAAAACAGTGTAAGGGGACAGTGAGTGACCAGTGGTGGAGGTGGTTAGGGAGAGTTCTCTGGGGCAGTACCATCTGATCAGGAATCTGTCATGTGAAGATACACAGGAAGATGGTGTCAGGCAGAGAAAGTAGCAAGTATTTCCAGGGGTAGGAACCAGCTTAGTGTGTTTAAAGAACAGGATGAAAGCTTGTGGGCTGGAGCACAGTATTTAATATTTAATAAAGCTTCCTCTTTCTTCAGATACTTTAAAGAAATTGTTGAGGGGAGGGGGTGATGATGGTGGGAGATGAGATTAGGGAAGAGATAGCGTAAAGGGATGGATTTTAGTGTAAGTGTGTTGGAAAGCAGGGCAGTAGTGATGTAATCTGATTCTTTGGAAAGATCTTTTGTGTAGAAAATGGGCTGTGAGAAGAGGAAGCAAGAGGCTAGTTGTCCCCCTGCAGTGGTCCAGG